TTTTTTTTTTTTTTTTTTTTTTTTTTTTTTTTTTTTTTTTTTTTTTTTTGTGATTTTAGCCTCAACATAGAACGAGATTTGAGCCACTGAAGTTCGCTTACCATTCTCGGACGATTCATGAATTTCTGCCAAGTTTCTTCACAAAGTTAGCTTCCCTAGATAAATGTATTCAATCATTAGGACCCTATTTGTAAAGGTTAGTCAACATTCAAGAACTCACCTCAATTCTGGACGAAGTCTTCACGGCGACTCCTCGATTTTCCCAAACCCTCTCCTAGTCTTCATTTTCTTCTGGGTGGCCTCTATTAGGGTTCCACTTGAACCCCTATAGTAGGTGGAGGGGGCAAAATGACACATTTGCCCCATGGGCCGATTTTTTTTTTTTATTATTTATTTGTTTCGGCTTACATCTTATCTGTTATTACAAGTTTCTTGGATGTTGGTTACTAAATGGAAAAAGATATAAAAAATGTATGTTGGCCGTAGGGAGTAGAAAAGGTTGTAGCTCTCTCTCTCCCTCTCTCTCCTACCTAAATCGTTGACTCTGAAGGTTGGTATGATCTTTGTTTTTGTGCAAAGAGTAGTTTGATCTGCTAGCGGTGGGAATCTTCTTTGTTTTCTGTTTACACTTTGAAAATTTAACTTCTTACTAACTTATTTCCGGTACATCTTGACGTGCATGTGCCTGTTCAACTATGCTATAGAATGTTTCAAAGTTTATAAGTAGGTAATAGGTTCCTTATTGTTATCAAAACTGATGAAAGAAGTGATTTTTGGATGGTGCAGTGCAAGGTGTGCATGCAAACATTCATTTGCACAACCTCAGAGGTGAAATGTAGGGAGCATGCTGAAGCAAAGCACCCCAAATCTGATGTTTTCTCCTGTTTTCCCCATCTTCAAAAGTGACAAGTCTCCTCAAACTGCATTGTGAGGGATGGGTTCTTTCTTATTCAACGAACCAAGGTGGGTGTTTATAGGACATAATATTATCAAATTTGTACTTTCATCTCATTCACTCTGCCTTTCTATACTTCTGCTGCAATGTGTTGCTACCTGCTAAAACTCATGTTTGCAAAACAACTAAGTTTCTGTATGTCCCAATTGACTTTGTTTGGTCTTCAAGCTCTATTCATGAATATGTTCTATTAATTGGTGGATGCACAATCATGAATGGATTTGCCTCTTGCCTCATCTTGTTTTTCATGTGGTTTTTTCTCGTCGTCAAAGAGTTAGAACAATAGTTTTTTCTTGTGGAACAATAGTTTTTTCTTGTCGTCAAAGAGTTAGAACAATAGTTTTTTCTTGTCGTCAAAGAGTTGGAACAACAGTTTTTTCTTGTCGTCAAAGAGTTAGAACAATAGTTTTTTCTTGTCGTCAAAGAGTTGGAACAACAGTTTTTTCTTGTCGTCAAAGAGTTAGAACAATAGTTTTTTCTTGTCGTCAAAGAGTTGGAACAATAGTTTTTTCTAGTCGTCAAAGAGTTAGAACAATAGTTTTTTCTTGTCGTAGAGTTGAATAATGAAAATAGATGGTAAGTGCCTAATCCAATTGATCTAGTTAGGTAGGAACAAGGTTCAAGTCTATCGGTCTGTTAGGATGTCTCAGCTGTATACATCACTGCACTTCTATTTGACTGCACCTTTATTTGACACCTATTATCATGATGATAAATGGCTTATCTCGCCTTGAGCGCTAAATCAATTTATATTTTTTTTTAAATAGATACTTAACTTGAAACTTCAACAATCTAATTTGTAATTTAACCTAAGATTTAATGAAACCCGAAGAAATAGAAATATATAATCGACATTTTCACTGATAAAGTTGTTTTGGTTTCTCTTTTTACCTAAAAATACGGACATTTTCAATTGTAGGAAGAAACAAAAGGGCTAGGAAGTGTAGTGGCCAAATTTCTATTTAAATACAACAGAACGACGAGTCGAAAAGACCTCCAGCCGACGTGTCGACTTTCTGACACGTGGCACAAAAATCATGACCCCTAAAATAGACGGTCTTTCCCAATTAAGTCGGAAAGGTTCCCTTTTTGGCCGGAATCCACACCCACTCGCAGTTTTCAAAATAAATTGCTCACTCTCCCTTAGCCAAAGAGCTTTATTCCTAAAAAAAAAATGCCGAAAATTAAACAAATGAACAAGATAGCGAGTATCCGTATATCATACTCGAGCGAGTAGGAAAAGAAAACAAATTTTACTTCCACCTGTTCATCAGTACAATTGTGCTGTGAAAACCCAGCGTGGTGAACGTGACCGGAAAACCGCAAAATTTTCTCTGTTTCTGTTTCTCAGCCTTAAACCTTTAAAAGATAATCGACGTCTTCCGTAGAAGCTGTGGGCTTTCTGGGTTGTTGCATTTGCGCCATTTTTCTCAGTTGAAAGGTCGCAAGGCTCTCGAAGCTACTGTGATCGCGAGGAAGCAAGCTCAGCCCTTTCCGCCGTACTTCCGTTCGCCGGATTCTTTTACGGAGACGAAGAAGGTTGGTGTTTTTCCCTCGGCTCAGCACTCGTCTCTTGTCGGTTGGGGAGTAGAACTGTTCTCTGTTCGTATTCGTGGGATCCCCTATGGAATAGAACAAATCATTTTTTAGAAGGGTGTGTAAACTTCTCCCGGGTAAGGATTGTGAAATTTCATATTAGTCAGAGAGGAGAACGAAGTATTCTTTATAAGGTGTGGAAACCTCTCCTAGTCGACGCGTTTAAAAACCTTGAGAGAAAGTTCAAAGTGTGGACAATACCAGATAGCGGTAGACTTGAGACGTTATAAATGGTATTAGAGTTAGACATCGGGCAATATGTCAGCGAGGAGGTTGAGCCTCGAAGGGAGTGGACACAAGCTGGTGTGCTAGTAAGGATGTTGGGCCTTGAAGGAGGTGAATTGGCGGTTCCCACATATTGGAGAAGGGAACGAATGCCAACGATAACACTGAGCCCGAATATGGGAGAATGAAGCATTGTTTACACGGGTATGAAAACCTCTCTCCAGCAGATGCATTTTAAAAACTAGAAAGCCTGAAACAGAAAACTCAAAAAAGACTATTTACTAGCGGTGGGCTTGTGCCGTTACAAGAGAGAAAGCCCGAAAAGAAAAGTCTATAGAAGACAATAACGGCTAACAATAGGCTTAGACTGTTACCGTTTTCGACATGACATACATGGCCGAGCCTCGAGAAATCTGCATCATGAGGAAAAACCCTTTTTTTGAAATCATTTTTTTGAAAAGGAATGATGAAAAGAGGAACATGAACATGAACCCAAGAGTATCAGAAGTTGAATGCTTTTATTATATCATAAACACATTCCTCAGGACAATAATCATTGGAGCCTTTATCTACATGTAACCTAAACCAACGCGATTCAAGGCTCCAAATCGATCTCAAAACCTATCCTCCTCCTCACAAGAATCGCAAAAATTAGCAACCAACTTTCAAACACAACGAACCCCATCAAATTATTCACAATATATGATCACCTTTTACCTATATCCATCCTACTATACTCTTTCTCATTTCGATCCGATCAACTCGGCCACTTCACTCTTCCGAAGCTCGTAAACTGATCTTCTCGAGCTGTGACGTCCAGTCTCTCCCAAGAACTTCAGGATTCAGTTGCATTGCAACACGAAAGTCCAACAATGATGCATTCAATCGTTGAGCTCTGTGCCTATATTGTTCCTTCAATGCGATTCTCGAGCCAGTTATCGGTTGATTGTCTGTAAATCTCGGTCGCTCGCACCTCGACCGAGAGAAACTCAAACATGGTTCAATCAACCTCTTTAAGTAAACATCCAGTGCATTGTTAAGAAGGTTTACACCATCAACAGATATATCAATCTGCTCCATTTCCAACTTTTGCTTCAAATGAGTCCTCAGCAACCTCGTGTCGGGTAGCTCGCCGCCATTTTGACATGTTGTTACTTGACAGTTTCTTCTTCCTACAGATATATTAGACAGAGTTTTACCAGACCCAACAAAGTTCATGGATATTCCAAGCGGGGCGGTAACCGGGCTTCTACTCTGAACTCCTGGACTTCCAGCTACCTGCTCAACCTCTTCTCCATCTTCTACGGATGCCATATCCACCGGAGGACGGCTGCCAAGAGAATGCAACTCTGTTGCACTTTGCTGTTCTTGTGCCTTGAAAGCAAGTTCTTCAAGTGCAATATTCTGGGGCTTTCCACATGGTCCTAGAGGACTCGGACGATCTCGAATCTTACGGTCTCTACTGACCGGAGACCTTCCCTTTCGAGGGGAGGAAAGAAATGCATCCCCATGAAGTGATTGAAGACAACTCCTCTGATACCCATTGACAACCTTTACACTGAGATTGCTATCTACTTTCCTAGTACTCCTAAGAACAGGGGGAGTTTTAGCCACACATGCATTTTGAAGAATTGCTTTGATAAACCGATTATGAAGAGGTATGATCTCCCTCCCAATAATCTGAATGCAAAACTTGTCGAATTCTCTTTTGTTAATCTTTAAACTCAACAGTTTTTTGAGCTGATCAAAGTATTTCTCCGATCTCTGATGTCCAAGCTTTCGATAGATCATAGCTTTCAGCTCAGATGTGTCTATACGAGAACTGTCTTTCCTGGAAAGCATTTTCAGGGCCGCAATTTCAGCAATGGCTGAATTTGAGACAAAGCCCTCAGAATCCCCCACAAATCGGTAGACTGAAAGTGCAAGAAATGATTCATCAGAAAGCCAGAAACCCTAAATTCACAGCTTAAGTTTCAAAACATTTGATTACCGATTGCTGAACTTTGAAATCACGAGGAACAAACCCCAAACTGAAGAACAGCTCGAAACAAACCATATTACATTTCATTTCGAAACAAAACATCGATTGCAGGAAAATCGTACCCCGACAAGGGTTTTTTCTTATCGTTGTCGGAACAATAAAAACCAAAATCCTAAAGCAATCAATGATGCAAAGAAGTGTCGCAAACATGAAGCATTCAATTTCAACTCCAAATTGGAACAGGAAGTGAAAACCCTAATTAGCAAGCAAACAATTCAGATACTTACAAAAATTGACCGAAGTGTTGCCTAATTGGGATCAACGCTCTATGATTTAGCGCCGCCGTCTTCTGAATCTAGATTCGCAACTTTTTGCCGTTTCTTTAAATTGTTTATGGTGGGATCGATTTTGGCGATTTGCAGATTGGAGACCAAAATCAAAACAGCGACCTTCGAAGGGAGTTCTTGCGAATGTGTGTCTCCTAGGCCAATCGCATCGCAATTCCATTCCGCACGTGCGCCCTCTATTTTATATTTTTGGTCCAAGACATGTTTTTTTTTTCTTTATTTATTTATTTACATTTCCAAACATGTTTTTTTTTTCTTCTTTTTTCTTTCCTCCCTTCTTCTATGGATTAATTTTTCTCTTGCCTCAAGAATTCGAAAGGAAAGAGTTCGCTTTGACCGTTAAGAATAGGTAACTCGTTCTGTTCCCTGTTGCGACCGTTAAGAGTAAGTAACCTGTTCCGTTCCCTATTCCGACAGTTAAGAGTAAGTAACCCATTTTGTTCTCTGTTGCGACCGTTAAGAGTAGGTAACCTGTTCCGTTCCCTATTCCGACTGTTAAGAGTAGGTAACCCGTTCCGTTCCCTATGTCTTTGTTTCTATTGCATTCTATCTCATCGTATCAAATTCTATTCTGCGATATTTGAGAAGCACCGTCAATACTTTGGTGTAGGTTCGGGATAATCTCTTGTTCCACAATCTAGATCTATTTACAACTAGCCAATTAAGAATTCTCAGATGTACTAATACTAGCAAGTGCATATTTGATGCAGTCTCCAAAGTTCTATATGATGATTTATCAGACAATTCATTGGTGCTGCATGTCACACGTTTACAGTCATCACTGTTGCATTTCAACGACATGGTTCATCTTGCATTGATCCGATGACGGGCTGTGTGTTCTTAGTAAATATCTTCTTAAAACTTTGTCGTATGTTTGAAAAATTAAATTTTTTTTTTGAAAGAGAACAAGATTGCGACTTAATTTCCGAGGATCATAGTTTAGTAGGTATAAATTTCATATTTTTAAACAAAATTGTTTGATAAAAGTTCAAATTTTTATACTTTCAATTAAGTACGTTAAAAATAATCAAATGATCCAAAAATTCGATCAACACAACTCAACCCAACTCGTGCGATTTGAGTTGTTGGGCTGAGCCTATATTTATTGTTAATTTTAAAATATACATTTTTACTTCCAATACAATAATATATACATGTTCTTGTTTAATTTTATAATTTTATAATTATTTATTTTCCAACCCCTTTACAATATATATATATTAAATTATGTTTTGTTTTTTATTTTCCTTTCTCTCTCTTTTTATTATTTAGAAATGCGTGAAAATTATAATGGGCTGGATCATAAACCGGCTCCTTCAATCGGGTCGGGTTTTTTTTTTTTTAATATGTGTCTAAAATCGTAAATACGCCACCACAATTAGGGTTTATTTCTCATATAAAAGCAATCCTTTTTGCCGACTTCTTCTTCCCCGCAAAATTTCTGCTTCACATTGTGATTTCCGAAGCGTTTCAATACCTCACAATCATGGGGCACTCCAACGTGTGGAACTCTCATCCGAAGAGCTATGGCCCTGGTTCTCGCACCTGGTAAGCAAATATCTTCTCACTCCTCTGGTTTCCAAGAAAATTGATGGAGGAAGGACCTGGAACAGTAGTTTCGTTTTCTGTTTTTGTCTGGTTTATTTGAACGAGTTGGAAGTTCATCTACTGAGTAAATAATGTTTAAGCTTGTTTCTATTGCTAAAGTTTGTTCTTGCGGGGTTTGTAATGAAACCTGAAGAATATTGTGCGGCTGAGTACGTATATGCATTACTTTTCTTGCTAAAGGATCGATTAGATAATCAGACGCCTAGGCGTTCGGTTAGCTTTTCTCTTTTTTTCTTTTTTCTTTTTAATTTCAACATGACTTTTAGCTGTTGTCCTCAGGATTTTCCCAACTTGGATGAGATTATGAGATGCTTAGATTTTGTGCTGATTTTGGGGTTTCCTGTTGTTACTGCTCTGTAAGAGTCGTTACACTTGCAGACAATTTCTATTTCGAACCTGTATTTACATAGTGACCGTATCATATATCGTTTTAGGTATAGTTTCGGGTGAAAAGTTATAACCGATGTTCTGTGATGGATGGGTTTCTGTTTTGTGGAGTTATTTGAATTTCGAAGTCTATCTTGATGATGAACTGTTCCTCATGGATGCCCGTAGTATGAGTAAAAATTATTCTTGTATATGAAAAGAAGTCTGATCTTTTCTTTTGGAGCTGTGGACTGAAACCTTTAAGGCTATAACCCCAATAAGTGTATAGATCATTTTGGCAATTACCCATAAGTTATCTAGTCTAGCCATTAGTAACTGAACACTGTATTATCCTTAGTGGATGTCGTAGTGGTTGATGTTGTATTATAAATTGGCTTTGGAGAAAGCCGAATTTCAATAATTCCTTTCTTTCAATCCTCATTCAGTCGTGTGTGCGGAAATCCCCATGGGTTGATCAGAAAGTATGGACTTATGTGCTGCAGACAATGCTTCCGTAGCAATGCCAAGGAAATTGGGTTCATTAAGGCAAGTGGTTTTTGTGCTCTCTATGATTATTTGATGAGATATACGCATTATCTTCTGCATTCTCTAAACTTAGAACTTTCCCATTTGTGCAGTACCGCTAAGAAGCTAACATCTCTGGAAGAGAGGGTGGGTTGAATTTATTGAAGAAGATTTTTCAATGTTTAGCAATGTTTTCTCTCTTGTTTACTTGGTATCGAATATGAAATGATTGTTAGACGACGATTTTGACACTTGGTTCTGGACTAAATTTAACGCTTCTTAATTGAGCTTCCTCTTGATGTTATTTTGACAATTATTCCTTCTGTTCTTCAGTTTCTAAGTACGTTTGATGTGTGATGCCCCTCTTATGCGTTCATATCGTTTGTGAGCTTAGGACTTGGAAATATATGAAGTGAAAGAGGGTTTAATATGATTTTCAAGTGTCTTAATTGGCCCTATACTTTGGGTTCTCTTTATTTTAGTCTTCAAATTTTCAAGTGTCTTAATTTATTCTGATTTTCAAAATATTTTGAACTGAATGTTGATGGAAACTATTTTTTATTTTTTCTAAAAGGTTTAAATATCATTTGAATCTTCGTTGTTCCTTAAGGCTGTTTGTTTGGAAGCTACTTTACCATATAAAAGAAAAATCAAACATTTATGTAATTGTTAATTATAAAAAAAAAACTTAATATAATAGGCTGAAGTTTGTTAGAATATTCAAAATAATAAAAGAAAAACTAAATTGTGATGAAATCATGTAATTGTTAACTGATCAGCAAAACCAATGTGTGTATATATATATATATATATATTATTTTATTTTATATATAAATAAAGGTTATTTGATTAGTAAAACCAAACTTCTCTACGATTCTAAGTGTAGATCTAACTTTCTATTTGCTACGTGGGATTTGAGCGATTAGGGGGATTGGGGGGACTACCTCGACTCATCTCTTCTTGAGAATTCAAACATCCAGTTTCGGGGGGTTGAGAGGGATTACCTCGGCTCCTCTCTTCTTGAGAATTCAAACATCCCTCATCAGTATATGAACAACTATCTCAGTTCTGGTACCCTTCTAAATATATTAAAAAACTTTCAAAATTATGATAAACACTTCCAAAATGAATGCAAAGACAACGTTTATTATTAGATAACGATTCTCATCCATCTTTGACGGGATTTCACCATATAAGCAACAAAATAACAAAGACATTTGATGTTTGAAATTTATCTTCTTTTTTTTCTGGTTTTGTTTTGGTGAGGTCGGCCCTTAAATAGTAATAATTGATATACACTACTACTACTACTACTACTACGGACTCTTAACCTATATATATATATATACTTCGTTCTTGCTCATTTTAGCTACTAAGGGTCACTCATCTGAAACATAAATCTGTTTGAATTTAAACCACCAAAAATAGAACCTCTAAGAAACTGAATACCTTCGGTTCCTCGAAGGCGTTGACTTCGCTTCCTCCTGATTAGCAGACCCGAGGCTCTCCGACGAATCCGAGCTGCTGTTTTCACCATACCCTCCTCCTTTACTTGACCATAGCTTAGTGAAAAGCTTCTTTGACTTCAGCATGCCTTTCATCTTACTCAGAGCTGCTTTGTCAATACCATTTTTACCAACTCCATTCCTCTCACTACCTCCTCTACCATTAGCAACCCTTAAGGAAGCCAGCTCCCCTTTGAGGGCCTTCAGCTCCTCAGCCATGGCTACTGCATCCCAGTCTTCCTCAGGGTTCGTCGTGGCGGATCTTGAGCTGCCGTGTGACCCGCTCGTTAGATCCTTGATCCCTTTAGGTAGGTCGGGAGTGCTGCTGCCTGATGACGCCGACGCCCTGACTTGCTCGAAAAATAATACCTGCACAACCATACGTAGAGGGAGCCGTTCGTTTTGTACTGCATGAATGCAGGCATCAGCAGATAGCTTCTTGCAGTCTATCAGTTTGCAGATTCTCTTCTTGTCACTCTTGCTGATCCCTGGATGTTCCTGTATTGAGTGCATACGGTTTGAGCAAGGGGGAACGGTTAAGTCGTGTCGAAAATTAAACATAACGTATGATGCGTCTATGACTATGTCGTAACGAATGCAAAGTCGAAAACTTGAACAATATCAGGCTAAGTTAAGGAGCTGATACCTTTAGATACATGTCTATAGCTCGATAGAGCCCATCGTGCGAAGGTCGAGCGATGCCAGATACCATTTCTGCAAGATCAATGAACTTTACTGATGGTAAGTTACGATCCTTCGCGATTTCAGCGAGGTAACCATCAATCAATTTCGCCACCATCAACTTAGTAGCATCTGATAAAATCCGTGCCCCTCTTGGCTCCTCGAGCTCATTTCCCTCTTCAAGCGACTCAATCTCGGTATTATGATCTTGCAAAAGAAATATCTCCACCATTTTCTGCACAGCATCGACATCATAAGTCGTAGCTTCACCTTCCGGTGCTCGTAGCAGAAGATCACTCACTGTAGCCTCTTCTAGCTGCTGTCCCATTAGTCGAACGAGCTCGTCTTTGGTCTCGTCTCCAGAAGCTAAGAAAATGGAAGCCTTCAGCAATTTCGACAAGAAGCTACTCGAGACACTGCCTTTCTCAGAAGGTAACAGCCACACAATTGTTGCCACTGCTGATTGATACTTCAGCAGATCCCCACATCGAAGCACGCTTTTGGTAAACCCGGGAAGGTATCGGTACGCGTAAGCTTTCAAGGCTTCTCCAATCACATCATTAAGGACGATTCCTTTACTTTTGATACTCGCTATGACACGCTTATATACATCGATTTCTAGCTCACAAAGATCCTCGACCCACCAATCCTTCGGCACGCTACGATTTCTCACGCCATTCCAGTTGGGATTGTTATCGTTTTCGTCGAGTAGTTTGTTTCGGTTGTATGTATAAGACCAGTCAACATTAGAAACATCAGCGGAGGCCTTCACTGCAATAGATTCTAAGCAATTGCTTACTAACTTCAGTTCCTCAGATAATGGCATCAATGCCTTTGTTGTCTGAAGAACAATGATTGAATCCTTCCAGCTACGAAAGATGCTCGAACTAAGGAAAATGTCGATTTTGTAGGCGAGGTTTCCCTTTTCGATTGTCTCGTGCATTCCGAGGTATTCGGCAGCACAACGAGCTGCAACTACGTTATAGGCATTAAGAGTAACAGTCATGCCGTAACAAAATTTGGCACATATCTCAAATGCTGCAGAACCGCCCGGGATCTCGGGAATATATACTTCATCGTTCGGCTCCCCAGCGCCCGCTGTGACCAGCTTCTGTAAGTGAGCACTCTTTGACAGAAGGGGAAACTGCAAACAAGCAGTACTACCAATTTATCAGCTCAACAACTTATACAGCGCTCTTGAGGAAAACTCAAAAGGAAAAGTCCAAAGAGGACAATATATGTTAGTGGTGGACTTGGGCTGTAACAAATGGTATCAGAGCTAGACATCGGATAATGTGTCTGCAAGGAGGCTAAGCTCCAAAGGGGGTGGACATTAAGTAGTGTTCCAGCGAGGATGATGCCTGGGCCCTGAATGGGGGACTAAAGGGGTCCCACATCGATTGGAGAGAGGAACGAGTGTCAGCGAGGACGTTGGACCTCGAAGGGGGTGGATTGTGAGATCTCATGTCGGTTAGAGAGGGAAACGAAACTTTGTTTATAAGAGTGTGGAAACTTCTCCCAAACATATGCATTTTAAAACCTTGAGGGGAAACCCGGAAGGGAAAGCCCAAAGAGGACAATATTTGCTAGCGGTGGGCCTAGGGTGTTACAAATGGTATCAAAGCCATACACCAGGCGATGTGCTAGCGAAGAGGTTGAACCCTGAAAGGGAGTGGACATCAGGCGGTGTGGCCTGCAAGGACACTGGGCCCCAAAGGGGAAGGGGGTGGATGGAGAGGGGAACGAGTGCCAGGAATGATGTTGGGCCCCAAAGAGGGGTGGATTGTGAGATCCCACATCGGTTGGAGAGTGAAATGAAACATTCTTTATAAGAGTGTGGAAACTTCTCCCTAGTATATGCGTTTTAGAACCTTGAGGGGAAGCCCAGAAGGGAAAGGCCAAAGACAACAATATCTACTAATAGTAAGCTTGGGCTGTTACAAATGGTATCAAAGTTAGACACCGGGCAATGTGCTAGCGAGGAGACTGAGCCCCGAAAGGGAGTGGACATCAGGGGTGGATTGGAAGGGGAGGGGGTCCCACATCGATTGGAGAGGGAACGAAACAAGAGTGTGGAAACCTCTCCCTAGCATACGCAGTTTAAAACCTTGAGGGAAAACCCAACGTTACAGTCTAAAAATATCGAAAAATATCGAGAAACCGTGAATAATCAGCATACCTTGTGGAGGTAAAACTTGACATCCCCAACGATAACAGTGATATCTGTAGCTAATTCACTTACAACATACCTGAAAACATAAATAAAACTCAGTTTAAAATCAATGGAACCCTTTTAGGAATCATTTACATCTAAATGAAAACAACTCACCGCCGGGAAGCGGCTGTTCCCGGCGGCGGAGCTGAATGCAAAAACCCAAGAGATCATCACAACAACATTGCCACAACATGAAATGCAAGAAGCCAAAACAGATCACTCACCTAACATTGTTCCCATCAGTCTGAAACGAATCAGGTTTTGATCCAAGTTTCATGAACTTCATCTTCACAAACAAGCAATGAGCTTCAAATCTTAAACCCAACAACAAAATTACAGCAAAAATCACCTCACAACTTCAAACAAGCACCAAGAACACAACGAACAACCATTCACAAAGCCACAAAACAGAGAAAAGCAGGACTCCAAAGAAAAAAACCAAGGCAGAAGCTTAGTAAGAGAGAGAGAGAGAGATGCGTTTATGAAGTATTTTAAGAAGAAAAAGAGTGTTTTAAATGGGAAAAAAGGCCAAGAAAGTGGCTGTTTCCTTGGTCGGCGGCAAAGCCCACGGAGCCCGGGTCAGCAAGTCAGCTGTGGAGACATAGCCAACAGACTTCAAAACACTAAAAAATTACCAAATCTGACTCCAAATCACAGCCCCATCTCAGTGTTTTCTCCTCTTTTAAAACCCCTTTTTTTAAAGCTTCAAGTCGCAAACCCCAACATATGCTATTCTATGCTATCATGCTTAAACAGCATCTGGGTATCACTTTAATTGAGCCAACAAAACCGTAGACAACAAGTATCACAAAAACAAATATGTTTTAACACTATCGATGAATCAGACATCAACTACCCAACCAACACCCAAATCTGTATGAAAATTGCGCTGAAAATCTAAGGAATCTACCAGAA